CGGAATTTTTCTCAAAGTTCTGTACACATCTCACATCTCATAATATAATGTATTATACTTCCCACCTATAATTCCCATCACACAGGGATCTTCTAAACATATCCGTCCCATCACACAGGGATCTCCTTTGTGAGCTTGGTTTGTCGTTTTCCTTTATGGATTTTTTTCCGACATGTCTAATGATTTGAGTTCTAATCTTTGAACCTCTTGCAGTTAGCATGACGAGTGCCGAGTACATGAAGTTTTTGCCCAAGAAGTCTGGCAAGGGAAAAGCCAAAGAAGTCCCCTCTTCCAATGCCGAGGTCTCCAAAAAGCGACGGGTTGATGCCGTGATCAGCGGAAGTTCATTGGGTGAAGAGGTGATCATCGCTGATGTCTCTTCTCCTTCCTCATCGTCGCTTCCTCCTCCCTCCACCGCTCCTCAAGGGACCCTGATTACCCTAGAGCCTGGGGAGTTGTGGAGGGTCGGGGCTACTGACCGACTTAGGGCTGCCTTAAAGCCTCATCTGGGGCTCATTGGTGGCTCGGGCTTGACCTCTACTGGGAGGGCCATGCTGGCGCGAATGGAGGAGGACTCTTTGAAGACCACCTCTTTGCTTCAAATCTTTCAGGATCTCAATCAGAGTCTCGACTTGTCTATTGCTTCCAACTCATCTCTTACTACTAAGGTGGAGGAGCTGAGTAAGTCTAAATCCGATCTGGAGATCCGAGTTCGAGAGTTGTCCTCTGAGCTGGACAAGGCTAAGAAGGATTTGGAATCGGCCATTGTCAAAGCGGATGGTTTGAGTGCTCAGAATGAGTCCTTCTCAAAGTCCATGGCTGACAAGGATGCCCAGATTGAGAAACTTCAAGCTGACTTCGAAGAGGCTAGGGCCTTGGTCATAAAAGCCGCGACTGAGGCCTTTGACAATGCCGTTGCTCAAGCCCGGGTTTTGAATCCTGAACTTATTACAGATGGGATGGACGTGGCATACAGCGCGAAGGACGGTGCTATCGATCCCGGAACTCCTGATTCAGATTGTGCCGATGAGGAGGAGACCGGTACCGAGATTCCCGCTGCTTCTCCACGTGCTATGGAATGAAGGGGTCGGAATGCCGACTTTCATTTTGTATTTTGCTATGGGGTCTTTGAGCCCCTATTTTATTTTGTCTGAACATATTTGCCATTTTGGGTCGGCTTCTAAAACTCATGTTTTGGTTTTATTCTAGCGAGATCGTTGCTTTACTTCCCTTTCAATTTTATGTCCGAGGTTCAATTTCGATCTCGTTATACTCGACTTGCGATTCGCCGAAGTTTTATTAACCGATCTAGGATTATCTTTTGTCCGTCAACAAAATTTTTATTCCTTTGTTTGATCGTGAAGCTCTTGAGGCTTCAATTACTTGCGTAGAAATCGACATGCACTGATGACAGAATTGATGTAACTGCTCATTTTATTTGCACTTCAAACGAAATCTATTTACAAGGCCGAGCTTAAGAGCTCATTTTATTTGCTTCGAAATAAATCTACCCACTGACTGAGCTTAGGAGCTCGTCTTATTTGCGTAGAAGTAAATCTAACTATTGACCGAGCTTAATAGCCCGTCTTATTATCTCGAAAGGCGGACTTCAAGCCTAACTATAGTAGACCTTCAGCTTGTCCGCGTTCCAAGTTCTCTTTACTGTCTTCTTGGAGATAGTTTCCAAGGTGTAGGCTCCCTTTCTTAAATTATCTTTGACTTTGTAGGGGCCTTCCCAGTTTGGGGCGAGCTTTTCATCTCTAGCATTCTTGTTGCCGATGTCCGCTCTCCTTAGCACCAAGTCGCCGCTCTGAAATGACCGTGGTCTAACCTTCTTTTTGAATCTAGCAGTTACTAGGCATTTCGCCATCATATTCTTTTATCTGGCGTTCTTTCTGCATTCGTCCAATAGGTCGAGTTCCACAAGGAGTGCCTCCTTGTTTTGACCTTCGGTTCCTTGTAATCTTTGTACCCTCCTCCAGGATGGTTCGCCGATTTCCACCGGAATCATAGCCTCGCACCCATATGTCAGCTTGAAGAGGGTTTCTTCTGTGGCAGATTGGGTGCTTATCCTGTAACCCCACAAGACGAGGTGCAGTTGTTGCACCCAATTTCCTTTGGCTTCGAACAACCTTTTATTGAGCCCGTTGATAATCACCTTGTTGGCTGACTCAACTTGTTCGTTGGTCTGAGGATGTTCCACTGATGCAAACCGATGTGTGATTTTGAAGTCGGTCATTAGCTCTTGGAACTTTTTATCAGCGAACTGTGTCCCGTTATCTGTGATGATCTCGGCGGGAAGTCTGAATCGGCTAACTAGGTTTCTTTCAAAGAATCTCTGTATCCTTGCCGAGGTAATGGTGGTGAGGGGTTCAACCTCGATCCATTTGGTGAAGTAGTCGACTGCCACTATCAACCATTTGAGTTGTCCTTCAGCCGCGGTAAAGGGTCCAAACAGGTCCATCCCTCATTTGAAGAACGACCACGGTGCCGTGATAGTTTACAGTTCTTCAAGGGGTGCACGAAGGATTAGCGCGTGCTTCTGACACTGTTCGCACCTTTTGACGTGTTCCTTCACATCTGCCTCCACAGTGGGCTAGTAGTATCCAGCCCTTAGTGCCTTCCTGGCTAAAGCTTTTCCTCCCATGTGATGCCCATTTATGCCCTCATGGATCTCGGCCAATGCATACTCAACTTCATTCTTACTCAAGCATTTCAGCATGGGTGTGTAGAAACCCTTTTTGTAGAGTTGCCCTTCTACAATGGTAAAATAGGCCGAGTTCCTCACGAGTTTTCTGGCCTCTTGTGTTTCGTCTGGAAGGACTCATTTTTCCAGGTAGGCCACTATTGACCTTCTCCAATCTTCAGTCTCGGTTATCACCATTACACAGGTCGGCTCCAGTATGCTCTGTTGTATTACGGTGCGATGGTTTCCTGAGCCTTTCGAGCTGGCGAGTTTGGATAGGATGTCAACCCTATTATTTTCGTTCCGAGGTATGTACTAGATTACAACCTCGTCAAACTCGGCTAATAGTTCCTTGACCTGTTGGAGGTACTTCATCATGCGAGGACCCTTGGCTTGATATTTTCCCTCAACTTGTGAAGTAACCAGCTGCGAGTCACTCATGATTTTTATCCTCCATGCTCCGTGCTCTTTTGCTTGCACGATCCCGGCGATGAACGCCTCGTATTCAGCTTGGTTGTTTGAGGTTGGAAATGCTAGGTGAAGTGAGTGTTCAATGGACACTCCTTCAGGGCTTTCAACAATCACCCCGGCTCCGCTTCCCTTAAAGTTCGAGGATCCGTCGACATATATCATCCAGAGATCTTCATTCCCTTCTCCCTTTTCATTGGATGGGGTTAGCTCCAGGATGAAGTCGGCCAACGCCTGCGACATGATTGCCTGCCTAGGTTTGTATGATATGTCGACCTCGAAGAGCTCGAGGGCCCAGTTGATCATTCTTCCTGCTAGATCCGGCTTGTGAAGTACTTGCCTGATGGGCTGGTTTGTTCGCACAGTGACTCAATGACCTTGGAAATAAGGTCGGAGCCTCCTTGTCGTGATAAGCAGGGCGAATGCAACTTTTTCAAGCTTCTGGTAACGAAGTTCTGGTCCTTGCAATGTCCGACCTACAAAATAGATCGGCTGTTGTGATTTGTCGGTCTCTCGTACCAGAGCGGCACTGACGGCCTCTACGACCACAGACAGGTATAAGATCAACGTTTCTCCGGGCTCCGGTTTGGACAGCACGGGAGGGGTGGCTAGGCAATTCTTTATATTTTCGAATGCCTTCTTGCATTCTTCCCCCCATCCATACTCTGCCTTTTTTTTTAGGAGCTTAAAGAAAGGTAAGGCCTTTTCTGCCGATTTAGGCAAAAATCTGATCAGGGCCGCAAGGCGACCTGTGAGCTGTTGGATTTCTTTCTTACTTTCCGGCTGCTTCATCTCGAGGACGACCTTACACTTGTCGGGGTTGGCTTCAATTCCCCAGTTTGTGAGCATGAAGCCCAGGAATTTTCCAGCTGGTACTCCAAAGGCGCATTTGGTTGGATTCAACCTGGTCTTCCAAGCTCTTAGTTGCTCAAAAGTCTCCCTGAGGTCGGCTATATGTGCCGCTATATGCATCGATTTGACGATCATGTCGTCGATGTACACCTCTAGGTTTCTCCCAATTTGCTTTTGGAAAACTCGGTTCATTATTCTTTGGTAGGTCGCCCTAACATTCTTGAGGCCAAAAGGCATGTCGTTGTAGCAAAAGTTTCCTTTTTCTGAGATGAACGAGGTTTTCTCGTGGTCATCTGGGTGTAGGGGGATTTGGTTGTACCCAGAGTACGCGTCCATGAATGATAGTAGCTGAAATCCTGATGAATTATCAACTAGCTGGTCAATGTTTGGCATCGGGTACGAGTCATTTGGGCAGACCTTATTTAGGTCGGTATAGTCCACGCAGATCCTCCACTTTCCACTTGGTTTCTTCACCATCACTACGTTTGACAGCCAAGTGGTGTACTGTATATCCTTGATGAATCCGGCTTCTAACAACTCGTCGACGTGTTCACTTAAAGCTTGACGTCAGTCAGATCCTATCTTCCTCTTCTTTTGGGACAGAAAGTTGGGTCTATCCCTGGGATCTCCGAGGCCTTCTATACGAATATGTCCGAGTTTTCCTTTAAGAAGGAAACTGGCTCCTTTTTGAAATCGGCCTCCAGGGTTTTTCCCACCTCGGTGTGCCCTTTACCGTCCTCCCCAATGTTGACGTCTTCCAATTCTCCTTGGGGTTCTGGACGAGGTGCTTGGAGCTCCTCCCTCATGTCGAGTTCGATCAAGTTTACCTCGCTTCCACATGCCTTTAGCGATTGATCCTTAGCTACTCCACTTTTAAGCCGAGGGGGAGATGATGGACCTCCTTGATGAACCCGCAGGGTCTCGTAGTAGCACTCCCTAGATTCTTTCTGATCTCCTCTTATGGTGATAATCTCGTTATTCGCCCCTGGCATTTTCAATGCTTGATGGAGATCAGCATATCCCAGTCATGGATTGTAGGCCTGCCAATGATCACGTTGTAGGAAGACGAGGTATCTACTACGACGAAACGAACCCTTCCAGCTCGGAATGCATCCTTCGTTCCTAAGGTTAACTTCAAATCAATGTAGCCTTTTGGAGGGGACGTCGCTCCGTTGAACCCGACCAGCTCGGTGACGCATGGTTTCAAGTCCTTCTCGTCCAGGTTCATCCTCTGGAAAACATCCCAAAGAATTATGTCTGCCGAGCTTCCATGATCAATAAAGATTCTCTTGACCCGACAGTTGACTAGCACTCCGGTGATTACCAAGCCGTAAATATGTCCGGGTACGACTATTGCTAGTTCCTTCAGAGTGAAAAACAATCTTGGGGGAGCAGGATTACTGGCTTTCCCTTTGAAGGTCGGTCTGTCTCTTACCGACATGACCTCATTCAGGTACTTTATTCTTGCATTGGCCTTGTCTCCTCCTCCTCCCAGAGCTCCGCTTATCACGTTGCATTCAAATTCAGCCTCCTGAAAATACTCATTTTTATCTTCGACCTCTTTGCCCTTTGCAGGGCGGTCTTGTTTCTGATCCTTTCTGTCATCTCTCTTCGGGCTTCGACTTCGGCTCCAGCTTCTCTGCCTTCGCTTATTATTCTTCTTGCCCTGAGTTCGGATCATGTACTACTTTAATTTGCCCTCTCTGATGTGCTTTTCGATGGCATCTCAAAGATCCCAGCAGTCATCTGTGATATGACCGTTCTGGTTATGGAAGGCGCAGTACTTATTTCTATCCAATCCACTATTGGCTTTGAGGGGTCGAGGTCTCTCGGCATTACGCATTTCAGTCTGGGCCACCTCTTTCCATATCCGAGATCTGGACATGTTCAAGGGCGTGTAATCATCATATTTCCTCCTTGGCGACCGATCTTCTGACCTCTTATCACGAGTGTCCTTCGCTTTCTTCGATCCCCGCTGGTCCCGGTCTTTGTTGTTTTTCTTACTCGGGCTCCGTCGTGTCGGACTGCGTCCTCGGGACTCCACGTAGACTTTTTGCATGTCTTCCACGTCAATGTATTTATCCGACCTTCGTCGGAACTCTTCCAGATCATTGACCGGGTTCTTATAGATGGACTTCGCAAGTGGAGAGTCGCCATCTAATCCCGAGATGATCAGGTGGAGGTGCACTGCTTCAGTTAGGCACCGAACCTTGAGGGTGGCATCCTTGAACCTGTCCAGGTATTTTCTCAGCGATTCATTCTCCTTTTGCCAGATTCTTCCCAGAGCATAGGCCGACATTGGATGCGCCTTGCTTGTTGCAAAGTTCAGTCGGAAAGTCCGGGCTAGGTCCTCGAACGAGTCGATCGAGTTCCTCGGGAGCCTGGTTATCCAAGCCATTGCCTGACCTGTCAAGGTCCTCGGGTGAGTGCACAGTGTGGACAATATTCGTAAATAAGTTAAAAAGTGTTTACCAGGGGTTCTTAAGCTCTTATTTATATGGATTACCTTCCTAGACTTGGGCCTTTTGAGCTCCCCCAATTGCAATAGGATTCAACTCCCTTTCTGTTGGGACGTGATTCTTATCTTATGCCCTTTGGCTGTTTAGAGTTGTTGAGATGCAGGTGACTCTATCTCTTACTAGATACCTTGGTAGGTAGTTGGAATATGATATTCATATCCATAACAATATTCATAATATTTACAACGAAATATAGTTATTTATAATCGTTTGGAACTTTTTGGATAGCATTTTCTCTGAGTAAATATTGAGATTTACTCAAGCAGGGTGTTCTTCAAGCATCAAGGAGCAATTTTTTGTGATAAATAATAGATTTACTAAGTAAACAAGCATAATATACAAAACTATCCTTTTGGGTTCAAATCAAAATTTATCACTATAAAAAACATAAAATTGGACTATGGATTATGAATTCAAAACATATGAAAGTCTTTTCCATCAATTCTTTCGAGGCATTAAATCAATGATTTCACACAAATTTTCAAATTAGAAAATACACTATTTTTCGCTCAAATTAATTTTTAAATGATTTTTAATATTTTAATCACATGTAGTTGGCTTTTGGAAATATATCTACGAGACAATGTATGTTAAAGACACTTCCCATCTATTTTTAAAATATCTATCCAAATATTTCATGAACTTTAAAATATATGCAATTTGAAAACCACTCCACTCTTTGCAATATAATTTAACATATACTTTTATGACCAATTATAAGTTCGAAAAGTATAATCAAATTAAGGTTTTATACTTTACTTATTATTTTTGTGCTCGGACCTTAATGATTCTCTCGATTTATTAAATTGAGAGTAAATATCATTTTTGGTCCTCAGCAAATTTCACGAGGCCCGTTTTAGTCCCTAGCAAATAAAAAGGCCCATCGTGGTCCCTCAAAAATTCAAAAAGACCCATTTAGTTGAAATCGCGGTCCCTCACAAATTCAAAAAAGAGCCATATTAGTCCTCAAAAGGACTAAAATGAGTCCAATTTAAATTTTTTAGGGACCACGATGAGCCTTTTTATTTGCTATGGACTAAAAAGGGCCTCGTGAAATTTTCTGAGGACCAAAAATGATATTTACTTTTAAATTGATAATATTTGACACTTTGTTGATCTTGATTTTTTTCAAGATGACTTGTGACATTAAATTTATCGTTAAGGTTATCAATGGTTTGTTGCATTGATATTTGTTTTTCTCTTTTAATTCTTTATTGTTGCTTTTGATCTGATTACTCTTAATTCGTTGCTATCTTTAAGGATCATCGTGTTCTTGTATTTTGTTGTCTCAACATTTTTCTTACATGACTCCATTATATATCTTTAATCTTCATACATGAATAGTGTTTTTTGCTATTAATCAACACTCTTATTTTTATGTTGTCGAACTTTCTATCTACACGACTACGCTCTTTAACATTTCATAGGTTGTACTCGTTCACATATTTGCACATTAGAATCTTACAAGTGCATTACAGCATTAGCATATAGGAGGAGCCAAACGAACAATTATGCCTTGTCGTAAAACGCCTTGTCTTATCCTAGGGTGAACAGTGCTTCTGTTAGATACGGCTAATGGAAAGATTCTCTCGTACACTCGAGAATATCATAATAATGTGACACCCTTTACTGATTGAAAACAAAACCATTAAAAGAATAATCTGACAAATTAAAACACACTTGATTTTTTTTTAAAATTAATCAAATGTTTGTGAAATTATAATGTTATAAAGACTAATATAGAATTTAAATAAAATAAATAATATTATTGTAAATCATTAAATTTATTTTTCTCTAATTTTATTACTTTTACGAATAGGCAACATATCTACAATATATATATATATATAACATATTTACTATATTTTAATATAATAACAACTTACACATAAAAAATATATGTTTTCTTTTACGTTTTTATTTTTTATTTATTTTTTTGGAAATAGTTCCAAGGGTATCCCAGCCGAAAATAAGGACTAATTCCCTCGAGGCGAAGAGATCACACGATTGTGAATATAGTCTCTCCCAACAAAGCATTTTCTATCCACACGGTTAGGGGTGTAAATGGGTTGGGCTGGGCTTTGGCCATCCTGGCCCAAGCATATGTCAAAAAAAATTCAGCCTATCTGACCTACTGGCCTATTAAAGACTTTATTTGTAGGCCAAGCCCGGCCCATTATAAAAAATAAGAAAGCCTTACATGGCCTACAGGCCTTGTAGGCCTCCCACTATATATACTAAGCAAAAAATAAATAAATTGTATAGAGCAAAGAAAGTTCTATTCATGCATGCACTAGTACTTCTCATAAGAAAAAAATGACAAACAAGAAAGAGTCAACATAATACCTCAGCTCTAGAATTATATCATAGAGGAATAGAGTCAAAGAAATAGAAAAAATAAGAAAAATACAATTACTGGATGCTGAAACAAAGTCTACAAGAGAATGTCATTCATCTAAAAATCTTTAAACCACCATCAAGACAAGGGAAAGAAGAGTATTATTGAAATATCTTCATCAGTAACATCATAATCTAGCAAGGTACCCATTGCTCCATGGTATTAAGCTGCAACAACATGTAAAATTTGGAGACATTAGACAAATTTTCCTTTCATAAAATAAAATAGCACAAAAAGTAAGAGATATTGGTATTTGGTACTTTGTGTCTTTGTCACATAAAATAAATATTATTTTAATAAATTAAATAGACCAGCCTACAAGGCTGTAGGCCAGGTTTGACAAAATTGGCCTATGGCCTATTTATTAAAAAAGCTTTTTTATAAGCCTAAGCCTACTCTACTTTTCTGAAAGGCCAGGCCTGAGCTGGGCTCAATGTAGGCCGAGCCGTGGGCTGGGCTGGGCCAGCCTGACCCATTTACAGCCCTACACACGGTTAATGATCGAACCCCTGTCAGTATACTTAAAGTTCTTAACTATCTACCAGTTGTGTCAGGCTTTGTTGATTTACGTTTTTATATCTAAGAGTTATTACTCTAACTAAAGCAAATTTAACAAAAAAATACAATGAAAAAAATATTTGTCTTTTTAAAGGATATAACTTTGTGTCATTTTAGATTCTAACCGTTGATTTTTGTCAATCAACGAATATGATTTACTGAATTTTATTTCGAATTACTAATTAATTAATAAGTTTGATTCAATAAATTCTAACTATTGATTGATAGAAATCAACCATTAAAATCTAAAATTACACAAAATTATATCCTTTAAAAATTCAAAACGTTTTCCAAATACAATTCGCCCTTAAAATGGTAATAGAAGTATGAAACAGTGGGGCTCTCGGCTCACGCTCTTACTAATATAAATTTTTTAATTAATTATTCAAATAAATGATTAAAACAAAAAGAGCGCCAAAGTCTTCCTCGTTACCTCGTTTTATTTCGCCACTTGCTTCTCTTCCCGCCATTTTCTGTCTCCTTATTTATATAAAAATTCTCGAATCGAAGTATGAAAAAAAAATTAAATAAATAGAAAAAACCCAAAACCCAGAAACAAAAACCTAAGACCATTGCAAATGGGCATCAAGGATCTTCTCAGATTCATGAAGCCTTACATCGAACCTGTCCACATAAAGAAGTACACTGGCAAACGTGTAAGAATAAACCCCATTCCGTTAAAAGTTTTGATTTTTCAGCAAAATTGTTATCTGGGGTGTGTTCATCTCATTCTATTTGCAAATTCTGCAGGTGGGTATTGATGCATATTCATGGCTTCACAAGGGAGGTGAGTAGTATCTAATATTGGTGCAGTTTGGATACACTCATGTTGTAATCGCGCTTTTGGGTAACTAATGGTGAGAAGTTGAATTTGACATTATGATTTTTCAGCTTATTCATGTAGTATGGAGCTTTGTCTTGACTCTGATAGTGGAAAGAAATTGCGGTATATTGAATACTTTATGCATCGAGTCAACATGCTTCGCTTCTATAAAATAACCCCAGTTGTTGTTTTTGATGGTGGCAATGTTCCTTGCAAGGCAGCAACTGAGGAAGAGAGGAAAAGGCATGTTTTTTTCTTCCTCAAATTTTAGGCTTTGAATCAAATTTTTAATCTTTTGTTTCTTATAATACTCGTCCTTTCAATGAGGTGAATTTTGTTTCTCAGTATATGATGTTTGTGGGGTTTGGTTGTTTTAGAAAAAGAACGGCTAATCGGCAATTGGCAATGGCGAAGCTCAAAGAAGGGAATGTTAGTGCAGCTTCAGAGCTCTTCCAGGTAGGAACATTTTTCAGTTTTGGATAAAAATGAAAAAAAAAATCTGTAGTCATTCAGGAGGACATTGCTGAATAATCCAAGGATTTGTCTTTTTGGACTAATCCTAAGTTTTTTTAGACTAGTTATGACTTGTCAAAATTAGAAAAATGAAAAAAACAAGATATGTGCAATGCTAACAATTTCTCTACTTGTGTCATCATAAAATATGGGGACAAGAGTTTTTTTACTTTGATTATTTTATATTCTAATGTTTACTCCCATGAAGAAAACAATTCAATGATATTCCATTCTTCCGTGTGTAGAGAGCAGTGAATATTACTCCTCTTATGGCACACCAACTAATTCAGGTATGCTGTGAACATATCCATTTGTGCAGACTTGTAAATGGCAGTACCGAGAATATCCCTCCCCAACCCCTTTTCCCCTTGTTAAAAAATTTGAGAAATATTAGTGCTACTCCTGAACAGCAATCTTAGTTAATCTAAATTCTAGGTAATTCCTTCATCTAATTACCTTGCAGACTCTGAAATCAGAGAACATTGAGTTTGTTGTAGCTCCATATGAAGCAGATGCTCAGTTAGCATACATGTCCACCCTTGAAGCTGAAAAAGGTGGAATTGCGGCAGTTATCACAGAAGATAGTGATCTGATAGCATATGGCTGTCCAGCTGTAAGAACTTCTCCAAAACTATGATATTGTGCGTGGAGGTTTACTGCTTTTCTGATGTTTTGATTTATTTACTGATTCACTATTCAATTTCATATGAGTCCTGTGTTTTTTTATTTTAATTCGCAATGGTTTTGATGAACAGATTATTTTCAAGATGGACCGTCATGGGAATGGTGAAAGAGTGGAGTTAGAGAAGGTTTTTTCTGCTGAGTCTAGTAGACCTTCATTCCGGAGTTTTGATATGAAACTCTTCACTGGTAAATTTTTGTTGTTTGTTGAATACAACAAACAATGTGTGCTTAGAAATATGCACGTCTTGAAAATCCATATCTGTGCCTTGACTTGTTGGTTATATGAATGGAGGGTACTTCTCTATTTTATGGGAAATCCATATCCCTGGTGAAGGTTAACATGAGATTATGAGGATAGTACCAGGAGATTTCACCAAATTTCTAAAGAAATCTTTGTTGTTTGTGTCATAGAAAAAGAACCTCATGCTTTTAGGTGAATGACAGGCTGAAAAAGATTTTTCCCCCCTCCAGGTATGTGTGTCTTAGCTGGCTGTGATTTCCTTTCATCTGTTCCTGGAATTGGTATTGTTCGAGCTCATGCCTTGGTTTCCAAGTATCGGAACCTAGATCGTGTAAGTATGTTCTCATCTGCTAATAAACACTAGTATTGATTACTTGTTGAAGGGAATTTACAATTTTAGAAGCACTCCAGTCTCTTGTCCTCGAATTACTTGCTTTATATGATCAAGTGGACTTCTCAATTGGATTACTCAGATAAAAAGTGTTCATTATTCATTACATTTTGATCTGTTTTATAAAAGGATTCCCCTTTCTTTATGCTAAGTATCTGAATGCCAAATATCTATCATGAATTCATCATAAAATCAGAGAGACTACATGATCGTCATTTCTTGGATTATGTTCACTGTTGATTTACGTTAGAAAATAGTAAATGATTATTATCACGTTAGAAATATTGTGAATAGGTTAATAATCAGAGAAATTCGTTGATAGTCAGTGAGGGATGAAGTGCCATATTTTTCAATTAATATTAATGTAATTTTTATACTCAATCCATATAATAGAGCCTCTCATATGCTATTGAGAGTTGAGACACACTGATTCCTAGTTATTCAACAACATATATTTTCAACTTGATTTACTTATGTATTTTGTGAGTTCGGGTGTAAATAGGGCAGACAGTCAGTCAATGAGGGGCTTAAATAAACTAAAAAGTTTTGGCCAAGTCTTTTGTATGAAGCCAGACAGGCAAGGACTTTTCTATGTTGTATTGTATTCTACGACATATTTTATGTATTGAGTATCATTTATACATCTTGTGTTGGAAAATAAGAATTAGGCAAGTACATATTTCATTACCAAATTGGAATTTGTGTTCATTTGGATGTTGTAATTACAGCAACCAATACTTTGTTTTCTTCTGTTAGTGTGACAAGTATCCTTGAAGTTGTTGCTAGTAAAGGTTCATATTCAATGTCATTATGACTAATATATCATTTCTTCAACAGATCTTGTCTGTTCTTAAGTTTGAGAAAGGCGATCAAATGCCTGAAGATTATGCCAATTCCTTCAAAGAGGCAGTTGCAGTCTTTCAGCATGCTCGAATGTGCTAATACTAAAACTATTTCTCAATTCTTATTTTTAGAATGATATTTATTATTCTTTCAGCAATGACTGTTTCCTTCTGGAATATTTGTGTAGATATGATGCCGATGCTAAAGAGCTTAAGCACATGAAGCCTCTTCCGCAAAATTTTCTTGAGTCACTTGATGGAAAACTTGATTTCTTAGGACCGTATCCTTCATTTATTATTTTTTGGCTAATTCCTTTCCTGAAATCTTCCATTATTTTCAATGTTCTCAACTTGTCCATCCAGCATTTGGTGCCTTCCTGCTACTGATAGCAACCTCTGGTCTATCAGACAGCAATGTATGGAAGTTACTTGGGTTCTTAATATATATCATGCTGTATAGCTTTCTATTTTTAGCACTTGCACTTCTAAGAGGACATATGATCAATTTCAATCTGTATTTTTGTTGAACATGGATCATGTTTTCCTTGACCAAGTCCAAATGCAATTAGAGAAATTCCCCCAACTATTGTCACAGCAATAGCTGAAGGAAACTTGAACCCATCAACTAAGGAAGCCTTTGATAAGTCTGAATATCCTAGGATTTCTCTACCCCCCATTGAACTCCAAAGCAATGGTCAACTTAGGAAAGTTGAAGCTCCTGCACCATTTAGACAGGAGAGCAACTTTTCAGTCTTTGGTTCCCATAATAGCACAGAAAATAGTACAGGCAAGTGATATAAATTTGAGATGCATGTGTTTATTAAACCACATGTTAATTGTGCTCACGAACTGACAACTTTTGTCAATACATTGCTAAGTTTATGCTATTTTACTAACACGGTTTATATTTTTAATTATTAGCATGTCATAAACCTTTTTCTTATGTCTCCAGTGACAAGACTGTCAGATAAAGATGAGTATTCCGATGAAGCATTTGCACTTCAGAAACTAGTCATGCCATTGGAACCAAATGGAACAGTAGAAAAGACTATTATATCTGATGACACACCTTTGAAGGTTCCTAACAACAACCCATTTAGGATAAGAAAACCTGAGGAAATATATTTGGTACAGACAGATGACACGGTTGAAGAAATTTCTATTGTCAGCAGTGATGAGTATATTGATGTGTGCATATCTCCAGATAACTTTCAAGAGGAGTTGTCTGAAAATCTCTCAAGGAAAAGGAAATTTCAGAACATAGGCTCAGATGAACTAGAAGCCACTGGTAAACAGGTTTCAGGAGTGACTGAAGTAGAAAATTCTGATATTTTATGCATGACTGTGGAATCCCAAGAAAGTGTAAATTCTAAGACTAGGAAAAGTGCTGATTTGAAAGAAAGTTGTGAAAGTGAAAAGAAATCCACGAGAAGCAAGTGCAAGAAAACAGGGAGCAACAATAGAACTATTCTGAATTTCTTTTCTAGAGTGTAATCATTCAACATCTTTAGGCCTGTGATTTTTGTTACGGCCCATGTAGAATTTATTTCTTTTTCTCCAATTAAGTTCAAAATTCCCAAAATTACATGAGCTAACAGTGCGCCAATATTTAAGAATCATCAAACCAGTTCTCAGTTAAGGTCATTATGACATTCTACTGTCTATGTGAAAGGAATCACATTTGAACTGAAACAAGTTGAGTTTAGAGGAATTGATTAGCACCCTTTCAATCAGGTATCAATCCTTTCTTTCAAGACGTCTTTCCTAATGTTTTCATTTGTTCAAAACATTGAACAATATGAGATTGCAGCTTATGGAAAAGTAGTTAGTGCCATAAAAAAGATCATTTTATTCCAAGACTCGTATTAACCAAGTCACATGATTACAATTGCACAGGGGCTTTCACTGATTCAAAACTACTAAAACGTGATTCTTAGTAACATCTAGAAGCTTAGAAAATAGATGTTAAGCCAATCTTTTCTACTGCTTCTTTTTGGTAAGGAGTTGCTTGAACCAGTATGCTGACATCTTGGGGTATCTCTTGAGGGTTTTGAAATCAACATAGACAATGCCAAATCTTGATGTGTAGCCCAATCTCCATTCAAAGTTATCAAGCAATGACCAAGCGAAATATCCTACCACATTTGCTCCATCATCTACTGCCTTCTTTAGTTGAGTCAAATAGTCTTTGTAATATTTTATTCTTGTGGTGTCATGCAAACCCTTGGGAAGAGTTACATTACCAGGATCGTCCATGCCTACAAATCATAAACTAGGTCAGTTGGAATTGCATTCAGCTTTAACAGTTCATAAGAACTAAGGTGAATGAATAACAGAATACTCATATCATAGAGCAGAAAGAATTGAGACAAAGCCAGAAACAAGCATCTGATTTCTACCATTTTCAGATAAGATCACAGTTGGGTTTCCATAATGCTCCTTGATGTACATTAATGCTTTGTACATGCCCCATGGTACGCTGTAAAGCCAATATGAATGTGCCTGCAAAGTAACACTTATTAATAAGTCAATGCATGATTTCTTGCATTTATATTTTTATAATGGATATCTGTCACTGGGTTCTAACTTACTCTTGGACCAATAGGCACTCCATTCTTTGCATCTACAATGTTCAGCAGATAATCCAAATTAGTCATGGAAATATGCAGAAAATATTTAAAACAATGTTTAAGGGAAGCATTATCTTACAAGCAAACCCTGCATTCCAATCCTGTTGGTAACCTGGGACTTTTGGTTTTGATTGATGGGGATCATACATGTAGTAAGTAGTATATTGGTTAATTCCAACAAAATCAATTGATCCCTTCACGATTTTAACTTCCTCCTTAGTGAACTTGGGGAGTCTTTTCCCAACAATTACTTGCATAGTTCTTGGATACTCCCCATACACAATGGGATGAATGAACCTGTAGAATTTTAACACCATTATCGTTATTGTTAAATCCTTGAAATTCTTCTTGGGGAAAAACACACATTCAGTACTAAATACTTGAACATGAGTTGGAGGAGCTTCAGTAAACATATGCTAAGATTTTTACCATCCAACATGAAAGTCTCTGGCTCTTTGAGCAGCATAGTTATCGGCCTTTGATCTTGTAAGAGGCTCATACCAAACAAAGTCCAAGAGAATCCCAATCCTTCCCTTTTGCTTTTCCTAAAAACAAACACATTCATCACTAAATAAGAACTATATAACAGTTAAAGCCAGCCAAGTAAATATAAGGACTCCAAATACTAATATTACTTGATACTTCTCTCGGTATCTTTGAACAGCAGCCGCATGTGACAATATCAAATTATGGGCAACAATGTAAGGCTCAGTCCCTGAATCTCCAGCTGAACAATTCCCATATTCTTTTGAGCACCTTCCAGGGGCAAAGAAACCATTATCATAGCCAAGAGCAGCCACTACCCTCGGTTCATTAAACGTCATCCAATTCTTTACTCTGTCTCCAAAAGTCTTGAAACAAAAGTCTGCATAATCCGCAAAATCTTTCCTGTGCAACAATTTTGAAGCATTCATCAAATATCCATTGGCCATAATTACAGTGTAAGCACACCAAAACTTATTTCAAATATTAATCCATGAGAAATATGTGCATGTAAAAGATTAATATCTCAATTTTTTTCTCATATCTACAGTGATACTTACACAACATTGCGGCTCAATAATCCTTGGTATCTCATCTCAAGAGCTAAAGGAAGGTCATAATGATAGAGGTTTGCATAAGGAGTAATGCCTGCAATGGTTTCAGACTATCAATAAGGAACAAAAACAGTAAGCAATAAACATCACATTTCCAATACTATATCAACATTTAGCATAGAAACTTACCTCTTTCTAGTAAGTAATCGATCAACCTATTGTAGTATGCTACACCTTTCCAATTTACCTTGCCAGTTCCATCTGCAGTAGCATTGAACTCAGTTATCAAATGAGTTCATCACTTTTGTTTCATCTTGTTTTTGAAAAAAACATGTAAAATATCAACTGTTAGATTACTTGGAAAAATTCTGGACCACGAGATTGAGAACCGGTAGGCATCAAAATTCAGCTTTGCCAAAATATCTATATCTTCCTGTCAAATTAAACACACATTATTCCTTGTAGCAGAGAACAGCTTGAGGTATATATCAATCTCAATCTCTACATGACTAAAATTACATTGGAAATCATGAAGGTCAGTCAAGGAAGGGTTTAAAAATCTAATCTTAAAAGTTGAGTTTTTTTTGGGTCTAGTAAATTTGATGCATATAAAAAACAAAATTGAGATATATTAGAAATGTGAACATTTTATAATTATGATTTTTATTAGTGGTTTTTAACGTGCATTTCATGCAGTTATTTGGACAGTAATCTTAATGTTAAAAATTTAAAGCCACTTACTTTGTAGCGATGGTACTGATCCACCGAAACTTCTCCCGTGCCATTATTTGCAACAATCCCTGTTTTCAATTGAAACAATAAATATTCCACAAAATTTATTAAATTAAAAAAAAAAACTAAACTAAACTTCGTAATTAGAACTCAAAGTTAATCTATGTATTCATATTCTTTACACTTCTCTATAAATGTGCCACATATTCTTTATACTTCTTAACGTAAATAAAAATTTTTATCCTTTTTTTTTTCAAAACTCTTTATCCAAAGATAATTAAAAAAAGGGTAAGAATGTATAAATGAATAAAAGATTGAAATTTGGTTGAGAAGTGAGAATGACGAACCGGGTTTTTTGATGAAAACGTCCCAAATGCTGGGGCCACGGCCATCCTTATCAGCCATACCCTCAACTTGATAAGCAGACGTCGCCGTTCCGAATAGAAACCCCTTTGGAAAAACCTCTCTACTCAACCCCCCAGTATCAAAACTCACCGTTTCAGGCACTGCAGTTCCATCAGGCTCCCCTGCACCGGCCACACACTGGATAATAACTAACCCAGCAAGCAGCAAGGAGAACAAGAACCATTGGTATGTAAGTGTAACCACCATCTTCATCCTCCTCACACAGTATAGTAAAGTGAACTCACTCACACAACTCACAGACACTGTGTTAAGTGTTTGTTACCTTGTTTTATAGACAACATTTGTCGACAATTGCAGTTTTGCCCATGAAAAGAGACAAAGTGAAATAAATAGTAAATGGCATTGTGGCAGCATATCACATTCAGTGGACCATATGTGGTGGCCATGATTGTACCCTCTAAGGTGGTGCTAATCTTTTTGCAATTTTCAGTCTTATCAAAACTTTAATGATTTATGTCAATAAATTGGATTTATGCCTTTCCTGCATACTTTCCTATTTTTCCTAAATTTTTTTTTATCCCTTTAATAGTAGGACATAATTTTCTTAAGTTGTCGTAGGAAAATAGTTATATGTTATAGAAACAAGATTACAAGTGAGATTCATAGATAAAAGGAGAGAGAAAAAAGAAGAAGTGAGACTTATCTATCTTTTGTGCCTAAGAAATTTAGTTATGTAAAATGAGATAAATATAACTCAAAAGGAAAAATAATTATCTCATGTACAAAAAAAATAAAGTAGTGGGGTCCATTATTTTTTCTTTTTTTCTTTATTTTAAAAAAAAATAATGGATCCACTATCTTATCTTTATTAGATGAGATAATTATCTCATGCAACATGAGATAAATAAATCCCATAAAAAATATATATACCTTATATTTAGGAAAGTTGTATTTATAATGAAAGAATGACCCTCTTTTTGGGGATGCCCTGATTGTTGCAGAGATAACATGGCAAAGGTACCTTGATTTCAAACATAACTGCAAGGATTTTTTTTTTTTTTTTATAACAAAACTGCAAGGATTTAACATTGCACATAGATGATGTACATATGAAATCTATTTTATAGTTTGTATTATGGTCCGCTGCTATTTAGGTTAATTTGCATACACTTTAACTGATTTATTTTATTGGACAGTATGATTAAAAATCTTTTAAGAAAATTACGGTCTAATCTCAAGATTGACAAAGTTACACAATTTAAACGTACGAATATGTGCTGCCACTAATGTGGTTTTTCTCAATTTTTTATTTTTATTTTTTTCAAACCTCAACAATCAGTTTATCAATAAGTTATATTAAACTGGGGAAAAATATTTCTGCTTTAAAGGCAAAAAAATAAATATTATCTCTATCACAAAGATAAAAATAAAAAGAAATAAAACATGTTTGATTGAGAGAGCAAAATATGATGGACTTTACTCTAAATTATCTTTTTGTGATAGATAATTTTTTCTATCTTTAAATAAAAAATGCTTTTCCCATCAAACTATGGGATAACAGTCTCTCCTGATGTTGGGCTCACCCAACAAATGATAGGACCAGAAGATAAAACAAAAAGTTAGCACAATTTTAGATAATCGGATAGAATTTTTCTCCCCAATAGCTGGAAAGGCTATTATCCATTAAATTATATGTAAACTGATATACTGTGTGGGTTAGAGTTATTATGACTTTTTACATCAATGGTCAATTTTGTGGTATTTTTCTTGTCATTGTTATGCAACAAAGATGAAATGATTTAAGCCACTGATTTAATAGTAAGAGATTTGAATAGTATGTATAAAGTCGTAGGTTCAGATATCAGTATTATTATTGTATAAAAAAATTGTGAAATAAATGTTATTTGATTCACTGATATCTAAATAAAAATAAACTAGTTCGTAAAATCAACCATGTTTGGCAAAGAAAAGGTCGAGAAAAAAAGAGTTTTTCTACCGGGAATTGATTAATTGATAAAAAAGGAAATAATTATCTCATGTTATATAAGATAATTATCGCATGGAATAATTATCTCATGCAATAGAGACAATATAGTGAAATCTATTATTTTTTATTAAAAAATAGTGGATCCCACTATTTTATCTCTGTTGCATGAGATAATTATCTGATGCAACATGAGATAATTAGATCTCTAAAAAAATGGGAAATATTACTATAATGTGACATAAGAAATTTTTTTTCTCATGCACTCATAAATCAAGAGTTGAGCCCACTTCTTATTTTTTTCTCTTCTATTCTCTTCCCTCTAAGTTGTGAGTGTATGAATAAAATTTTTCTTATATCACGTTAGAGTAATATTTTCCAAAAAAAATTGCTTTTTGATTAATTGGAAGTAGAAGTGAATTGTTAAAAAAAATTTAATAAGGGAAAGTTTGGGGAAAACTGAGACGACTGTTGTTCAAGTTGAAAAGTCAATACATGTAGATATGACGTATAGAAGATGCATGTTGATGTGGATTTCATACGTGACAATGAGAAAGAAATTTAAAAGGCCGATATTGCAGTTACAGAATCCATATTTCAGCTTTTACTTATTAAAAAATAATGGGATTAATAATTTTTTTGTTATAGAAAATAATTTTATTAAAAATGTAATAAAAAGAAAAAAATATAGATATCATATTTTTATGTGTATATAAAAGATAAAATCATCTCTTATAATATGAGAAATATTAATTTCTAAAATAAATTTTGTTACTACACATTACAAGAATTTTCTATATATTAACCCGAAAAATATAAATCATATTTTCTTTATCAAATTTTTGATTAAAAAATTAATTCTAGAAAGAGATTACTTTGAGTTATTTTCATATTCACCGTTTATGTTATGAGAAATTTTTTTTAGTGCTCTAAGTTCTATGTGATTCTTTCATTCAGCATATGATATTTAGACAATTTTTTTTTCTCCATTAATTATTTAATTTTAATTGACACGGACCGGTGAGTGGACCATTGAAATTATTCTCTATCACATGACGTCAAATAGTTACATTTGTTGACCGGATCTCTGTCTTGATTCTCAAAAGATTAAATAATGCAAGCTTGTTTCACATCAAGGGAAGATAATAATTGTTCAGATTAGTTGACAAATATAATAAGTATCTCATGAGACAGGATACTGTTTATCACATAATGTCCATGAGATTACTTTTTCTATTTACTTTAAATTATTAATCTCATATTTTATTTGTTTCTATTTAGCTTTTATTTTATGCTAAACCCTCCTCATGAAAAAAATTAACTAGATACCTAATGGGTGCAGCTCAGTTGGTAATTTGGCGCTGAGTTAGTGGGGTTGGACATGTGTTCGATTCCTGCTGAATGTATTCTTGGGGAGGGGGCTGAACCTTTAGCCATCATTGCTCCCCCGCACTCCGAATTAGTCTCATAGCCGGCTCAAAGAGTCGAAGCTCGTGGGGATACCGGAGGGAGCCAACTCGCTTCAAAGAGGTAATTAGGGTTGGGTAACTCCAAAAAAATAAAAATAAAATTAACTAGATACAAATGCGTTTTAATGGATGTAAGATTTTTTTTAGAGGAGATATTTTTTTTTTCAATTTTTTTTTTTTGTTGAGAATATGGTGAGAATTTTTTTTTCCGAATAAATTATAAAAAAGTGTTTGCTAGGCCAAATTCTTTTCGAGAATGTAAGATTAATTTTACTGATGCTATGTTTGGTTGATTATAAAATATTGATAGGAATTTAAACCGAAATAACAAATTACTTATCACTTTGAATATTAAATCTCTTGTCAGTTATCAAATATTCATTTTACACGACATTTTCATCTCAAAATGTTGTTACGCATCTTCAAGTCTATGGGAAAAAAATAATACCATAAGTAAGATGATATTATTTTTTGGGAATATGTAATTAAAAACAAAATAATGAGGAAAAAATATCCTGTAATTATTTTTACTTTTACTTATATAATGGGAAAAAAATTTCCATCCCATTTTTTCATCATTTCAACCAAGAAAAATTATATCAAACACCCTTTTACTTGTTGGGTTTGATGGTGTCTTTGTTATAAAGATAAAACATTTATTTTAATATCTCAAGATAATCAATTTTGGTGAAATTTTATGATACTATTTATGAATATTCTTCCAGAAAAAATCTATCAATAAAACTCGAATTCAAAACCCTTTTTTATAAAAATAGTTTGATCTTATCATTTAAGTTGACTGTCGTGGTTAGAATCAAGTCTTCACAAATGCATGTACCAAAAAAAAAAAAAAAAGTCTTCACAAATGCATCAGTTTTGAGGCGAAAAGTAGAGTCACAAGGTTTGTCATCTTGTAATAATTGGAGGGGAAATTCGTCACGTAGCGACGTCCCCGTGTTTCACCTCCGCCACTAAAATACTATTCTTGCCGTTTATATGTCGGTGGACAACATCCCCTTCAACCATGCAATTTTATTTTCTACAAGAAGTCCCAATTCTAAACTCCTTCAAGTCCCAACTTTTAAGTTCATATACATGCCGTAAACTCAAAAAAAAATTCATTTATAATTTTTGAAAATTTGCAACATGGTTGATACAAAAATTTATATTCAGATCTAATCATTTTCGAATTCATACTGTGTTCAGTTATAAAAATTGATTCGTAAATATTTGTGTCGTATTAGTATTAACCCATGGACTCGAAATTGACCGTATTAATTTTCTTATAAATTATTTGTGTCGTGTCATGTGATAAACATGTTATTCGTGTTTTATCGTGTTGTATGGACTCACATAATAAGTAACTCAAATTGAGATTAATATATTATTTGTGTCGTGTCATGTGTGTCAAACTACATAATAAACAATACACTACGAGTTTGCAGATTATTTGGATAATATCATGTCAATCTACAAAATAAGTGAATTGTATTCGTTCAAAATTTTTAACCCAATTTTAAATGAGTATTGACATGTTTGTATTAAGTGTATTAGTGTTCATGTTTGAATTTAAATCGACCCGAATTGCCACATACTTAATACGAATAATCCTTATATATATATATAATATATATATATATATATATATATATATATATATATATATATATATATACAGGCATTAGCACATTTTCTCTCTTTTATATATGCTTATTCATTTATCTAGTTATTTACATGTTCTCATGGCTGAAATATGTGTCAATCCTTTATCTTGACCGTTGGAACTGAGAGTGGGTCCTAAAACATGATATTTGGACAAAAATTGTTATGAAACGAGA